TAGACTGTAATCTCTCCATCTCTAAGCCGCCTGGTTTCCTGGAACCCCTGCAAAGATTTGCAGAGATGATTAGTGGCTCCAGTATCTACACACCAGGTACTGGTAGATACAACCGCTAAACATGTTTCTACAACAAAAGTATGAGAGTTACCTTCTTTGCCCTTCTTGAGGAGAGGACATTCAACCTTCCAGTGCCCTGACTTATTGCACTTGTGGCATCTACCTTTCGGCTTCTTTGCGACAGCGTGCTGAGGTACTAACTGGGTGCTCTGTGCCTTTACCTTTCCTGCAGCCTTCTTCCTCTTCCTGCCCTTGTGAGGCCTGGAAGGTATGGCTTGCTCGACAACCATCACAACTGGTTTCTGCGTGAACAAGGCCTCAGCCGACTGAAGTTCTGACAACAGTTCTGGAAGAGCCATATGCATCTTGTGCATGTTATAGTTCAACCGGAACTGATCAAAACTCTTCGGCAGAGATTGGAGCATGATATCAACCTGGGTTTCCCCGTCAATAAAACCTCCAAGAACCTCTAGCTCATTGAGCTGCACCATGACCTTGAGAGCATGCTCCCTTACGGGTGTACCCTCTGCCATGCGCGTGTTCATCAGAGCACTTAAAGCCTCTTGTCTTGCAGCCCTCGACTGATGCCCAAACAGTTCCTTGAGGTTCAGAAGCATATCTGCAGTAGTGGCCATTGACTGATGCTGATGTTGAAGGACATTTGACATAGAAGCCAAAATGTAGCACTTCACCATCTCATCAGCCTTCTTCCACCGAGCATACTCTTGTTTCTCCTCATCTGGGGCATTATCAGCCGGCACATCAGGACAAGCCTCAGTTAGCACATACTTATAGTTTTCAGCAGACAACACTATGTCTAAGTTCCTTTTCCAATCAATGTAATTAGGACCAGTGAGTTGATTTTCTTTTAGGATAACAGACAACGGATTGAACGACATGATGAATAAATCTGAGAATCACGAAAATATTTTACTGATTAAACATTTTGAATTTAACTGTTAATATTGACATCCTCAAAACAATACTAACTTAAATTCACCGACATCCTTAAACCTTGAGAATTTAGTATGATGCTCGGGAAACTCTACTAATTCTTCATTTCTTTAAAGAAGGGTTTTTCCAGAACCCATTAATTTCCATTAGTCAAAACCAATTTCATGACGAACGAAATTAATAGTCGGTCACCGTTTGGCCATGCAATAAAAATCAGGGACCCCTCGGGGGGTTATGCAATGAATCGCATTCTAAGTGAATCCCATTTCTCGGTCTTAAGGTCGTCAAAATCGATTATACGTTCACCTCGGGGTGACCCGTACGCTCTCATTCAATTTCCTCTAACCGTTTAAATTTAGAAATTCGTTCTGATAATTATCTTTCAATTAATTTCAAGTAATGTCATCCTCGGGGAAGCCCACACTATCAATTAATTGGTTTACCAACGAATTAGAAATGGAGGCCTTAGGAATTTAAAATTATCTTAACTTTAAATATCCTTCTCAACTTAGTATTTAAATGAGGATTTTAATATATTCATGCAATTCTAAATAACCCTATGCCCACAATGCAACAATTAATTCCATGCATAAATAAACAAATAAATAATTAATGCCATAAATAAATATCCACTATATGGCCAATTAAATATTTATTCTCCTTGGATTATGATTTCTTTCCTAAACCAACTGGAACTCTCACTGCAGTAGAATCCTGGTTGACTTGTACTGCAAGTTCCACAAAACCTCCACCATGGATGTTGTCGAGGTCCTCTGGTCGTCCTGCCGGCCGCCGGCCTCCACCCCGGTGGTCGATTTTTTTTTTAATTAAATCGCGAGCCGGGCTGAGCCACCCGGCTCGAGCTGCGCGCGCCCGCCGCG